GACATCTACACGGTCAGCAACATGCTGGCCACCTTACTGGGCGGGTTAGAGTTGGCCGACTGCGCGTTAAGCCTGCTGAAACCGAATCACCCCCAACTGGGGGCAGCGCAACGAGCTTGGCTACTGGCCGCGGAAAACGAGGTCACCAGAGACGCCATTTGCGAAGCAGATATGACGGAGGCAATGTGGGCGAAAGGCTACGGCCCACAACTGGGCTGCCTTTGGCGCCTGCTGGAACGGGTGGACGATACGGTCAGACTTCTGCGATCAACTCTCGCCAACGCAAAATTCCAAAGCGGTTGGCAAGAGAGCCAAGCTGGGGGCTCACGCACCCAGGACAACCCCCGGGGTGGGGCGATGAGCGGAGGCCAGGCGGCAGGTATGAGAAGCAGCGTCGGCAACGGGCCAGCAGGGGAAGAGGGCCGGCAGGGCGGGGGCCGCCGAAACGACGCCCTAGCGGGACGCGGCAGGCAAGGGCCCGCGCCGTGGCAGGCGGCCTTCGACGCAGTGAGAGACGAGCTCGGGAGGCGCAACCTCCCGGCAGAGCTGTGCCCAGATAGCGACACTTTATTCCGGACGGCCAAGTCCCTTCGCCCGGCGATTTGCTGCAACGTGGCACTCCTGGGAAAGCAATGCCCTATAGGCGGCCCCCCAGGCTGCAAATTCGTGCACGACGACCTCCAGCGGACTGTAGGGCGCTTGGTGACTGAGTTGGCGACGAAGAGACAGGCAGGGCCCAACTCGAGCGGGAATAAGCGGAACTTGGTGAATTAGTTCGGGAAGCTAAGGCAGACTTAGCGTTAGCACACCTTGTGCTGTGGTTCGAATGCGCGATTTGTGGGCGTTAGAGCTTGAGAGTCAGGCCGCGGTACCTCGTGGCTACCGTTAAGACCTAGTAAGGCGCGGACGTTTATGTGGTGTTATCCTTGACCTGACTGCAGACGGCGATTGGGAGTAGCGACTGCCCGGAGCGAGCGCGAAAAGGAACGCTAGGCATTGACCCCAGTCGGATCGGATCGGACGAGGGATCGCGCGGAACAGAAGGTGAACCCGAGACAAAAACCCTAACTCTCGAGCTAGACGGCGAGGACGCTGGCACTTGGTGCGACCCGGAAGAAGACGCGCTGCTGTTGTTCTTTAAGAAAGTGCCGGTCGCCAACAACCCCCAGACTGAGATCGCGTTGCCCGCGCCACCAGAGACGGACCTACCACGCGCAGCAGAACAGCTGAACCGGGCATGGCTCGGTATCACCGCAGCAACACTGGCTGAGACCCCGGACACGCAGCTGATGCAGGAAGCGACGTTCGAACAGGAAGTACGAAGTGCAGCTCGAGACC